AAGATATCAATTACACTCATGTACTTGTCACCCCCTAGAGTCATAGGATCACCATTACACTACTGTACTTATCACCCCCTAGAGTCATAGGATCCCTATTACACCCATGTACTTATCACCCCCTAGTCATAATATCCTGTATATTGGTAATAGACAACTATTACAAAGTATGTACTGCATATTGTGTATTGGCAAGGATATTTTTTCCAAATAGGTTTTTGTACCACCTGTTCTAGGCCTTATATCTATCGAGTATATGCGTATGTACAATAAATACATATACACCCAGTCTTCACATTGCTGTACTGTGCATTGGAATGCAACTTCTGCGATGAATATGAGCACAGGAAGCATGCCTAGTAGCACTTGCAATCACATTTAATACGACGTTGAAGCACAAACCAACTATGCTATCAGCAAACAGATCCACTATACCTTGCCATACATGTACACAGACTGCATATGCTTCGACATCCACGTGCATATGCCATAAACAACGTACCGTGAGTGTCTGCACGTCATGCGCAAAGTTACATTTGTCCACAGTGTTCTTGACATTGATCCATCCCCCCAGCTTAACCGCCTTTTGCAAATCCTCATTCTCCTCGAGTTTCTTCCCGGAAAAATCAACCCATACTTGGGGAACAACCGGAGCACCGGCTGGCAACACAAGCATTGCGCCGAGTGTGTTTGGTGTGGCTTGCACGTGCTTGACCATGGCGTCTACTAGCTCAACGGCCGATGCCTGAGTAGGGCACAGAGAAACCACCAGACCTGTGGAGAGAATCAGTATGTGGGATAATAAGAGCGCAAGAAAATAAGCACGTCCAAATGCAAGCAACCGTGCTGTATGTATCAATTTTGGTGTAAGTATGCTTAAACAGGTAGTCTACCAGATCTATGGTCGATGGCTGAGTGGGACTCAGAGAATCTTCTACACCAGAGGGGATAGCAAGGCATCACTGCTTTACTAATTCTACAAGTAGCTGAAACATATACTGTTACAAGACGCAGGATGCAATAGCCGCAATTCACACTTAATGTATAAGGGTGATTGAGATTGATCAATTTTATAGCGAATCAGGCAATCGGGATGCAGCATGAACTAATTCTCATAGAACAACAAGCAACCAGCAGAGACAGGTGGCTTGATACACTACCTACACGGCGACACCATCAGCGTTGAGTGAGAACAGGCTCTTAGAACGCAGGGCAGTGAGCCAACGACGTACATACGATCCCTTTACAAATGCATATGGAAGTGTAACACTAGTGGTGTAAAAAGTGTGTAGAACTGAGAAACATACCTCCCAAGACATCGCCCACATGGTGTACTTTGAATTTGAAGCTGGTAACCACTCCAAAGTACACCCCAGCACCCCTCAACCCAACCATCAGATCAGAATATTCGTTATCATCGTTGACTGTGATGAATTCCCCGTTTGGCAAAACCATTTCGACCTACAGAGTCACGTGTGTATATGATTGTGTGTATAAATAGCAATATGTGGAGCGTACGACCTGCTCTGAATTTTTTTACCTTCTCTTTCTGTGAAGTGGGATAAAATAAAATAAAACTTGCGGCACTCGACAACAGAAAGAGTGAAGTTGTTTTTCTTTCTTAGACCAACTCAATGAACAAATATGTCTTCGTCTGCATGTTTCAAGCAAATGGTTGCATTCCTTTAGATAGCATTATTCTTTGATAAATATTAAACGATAGAAACTCTGAATCATTGGTCTGGTGGCACGACCGTTTGCCGCAGAGTACTATATATATATTCGCACAATACCCACATTGAATTGTGCACGACTACTTTCAACCCTCGCTACTTTTCACTCATACCTCAATCATATTATCGACGCCGAAACCATGCATCGCCGTCAGCCATCCCAATCCCCCGGCCAAGGTCAGACCTGCACATAGCACCGCAACACGGTGTAAGCATAGCATGGCAAACCATCATTAGAAAGCCTACACAGATATATGGAGGGATACCGTGCATGAGATATATATAGGGATGCAAGGCATGAGATACATAAAGGGATACCGGGCATCAGGTGTATGGAGAGATCAAGGACATATATATAGTGGGATGCAGGGCGAGAAATATATGGAGGTGAGAAGGACATGAGATATATGGAGGGACGCAGAGCATCAAATATATTATGCAATGTAGGGCATGATATATATGAAGGTGAGCAGGGCAAGAGATATATGGAGGGATGCAGGGCTTATAATATATGGTGGGATGTAGAGCATCAGATATATGGAGGGATGTAGGGCATGATATATATGGAGGTGAGCAGGGCATGAGATATATGAAGGGATGTAGGGCAAGAGATATATTGAGGGATGTAAGGCATCAGATATATGGAGGGATGTAGGACATGATATACATGGAGGTGAGCAATGCTTGAGATATATGGAGGGGTGCAGTGCATGAGATATATGGAGGGGTGCAGTGCATGAGATATATGGAGAGAGGAAGGACATGAGATATATAGAGATATACCGGGCATGGAGAGTACATATAATATATGTGGGGATGCAAAGCATGAGATATAGGGACGGATGTAAGGCATGGGATACATGGATCGATGCAGAGCGTGGGATAAAGGGCATGTGTACAGATGTACGCGTGCGTTTACGTCTGACAATGAGAGACTCCCGTGTGATTACTGCATACACGCGAACTGACTGCGATTTTAATACAATCTCGGAAAAATCAGGCCGAATCTCAACCGGATACATTACGTCAAGGTAGACCCAAAACTACAGATAGATTTTGGTCTGCCTACCTACCTGCAATGCCTGTGTCACTGTTGGTGCCCCACACACCACCCAAACCATGCTCTACGAGCTTCTCGTCAATTTGACCCAATTTGCAGCCAGCGCCGACTTTGACTGTCAGCGCCTCCACGTTGAGGTCTACTTGATCGAGGTCGAACATGTCCATCACCAGGGTGCCCGTTTTCATGCATCTGCGGTCAATGAATGTGGTGGTTGGCATGGTGCTTACGTTGTTTGCTTGGGAGTGATATCCAGAAGAATAGTCTGGACTTCTCGTGTGTAGCGTCATTGCACGAGTGATGTTGTCTGGCAGGGAGTACACTGCAAATGTTTGCGCACTTTATCAAAACACCTCAATTCACCCTGACCAGTCTTGGGAAATAATGAAAGCCAGGAATCCCAATTCAATCATTTTCTAAAATGCACATCGATTGGGGCCGTCACTTGTGAACATTTCATCTCCTTAATGGGATGAAGAACGAAGCGAAACTCTACACCACATCCTGCACAACAACGTAGTCATCCATATGCAAACCGAATTTTGAGCGTAAATCTAGCATACAATCCACCACATGTATGTAGGTGTATGTATATTGGTAACTGAATGACTTTCAAACAAATTTCGACTACTTACGATGCAGAATGGTAGCCGCCAGCAATACACAACACTGTATCGTGCTTGCGAACAAACTTCAGAGTAGCGCGGATGTCATCTACAGCATTCTCTGCACTCACACAAACTATTAGATGAGGGTAGCCCGCTGCGTCGGTGTTCCAGACACGTGCACGTATGTTGTTGTACTCCTCCACATCAGAGGGTGAGTAAGCCTTGCCTGAAAACATGTGGGGGTATCCAAAAGACGAATTAGCCTAGTTATGGATAGTAATGTGCACGAAGCAGATCTTTTAAATAAAACGATAGTCGGATAACCGACGCAATATATATATGTATATATATATATATATATATATATGCATATATGTATATATNTATATATATATATATATATGTATATATNTATATATATATATATATATATATGTAGTATTATATA